GCTGCCCGTGTTTTGGGGGAGTTATCTGGACGCAAAGGACCCGCCAGGCAGGAAGGCGCCGGTTGTTTTGCCTTTTTACAAAGCTGACACTTCTCGGGGCATGACGGGGGGAATAGCTTCGTAAGGATAGAGAAAAAAATCAAGAAAAGAAAGGAGTTTTGATGCAGTCTATTTCGCTGCTAAAGTACACTTTGTTGCACCTCTAAGGCTTTCTCGCTTTCACATGATTCTAATTTTGTACACCTGATTAGGCCCCACCAGGTCTTGTGGAACAACCCCGCTCCCCATCCTGCTTCGCCTCTTGGTAAAAACCTCATTGCTGCGTCGTCGGTGACGAGCCGTCTCGCGCCGCATCAAAGGAGCTGCGCGGGCGTCTCGTGGACCTCAGACACGCCGGCGGCGCTGAGGGCGACGGCCTTATTCCTGGCGATGACCTGGCCGACCTTCTCGAGCATCTCCTCGGTGAGCATGGGCTGGCCGCGCGCGCGGCGGGCGTCGCGCTGCTGGCGGTTGAACTCCTGCAGTGGCGTGAGCATGCTGGCGGCGGTGACGCGGCCGGCCTTCTTCTCGCTGGCCTCGGCCTCCTTGCGCTGGACGTATTCGACCTCGTGGCGGGTGCGGAACTTGGAGTACTTGTTGCGGAGCTCGTCGATGAGCGTGTCGGGCAGCGGGCAGGCTAGGAGCGAGGGGACAAAGGTCGGCTCCTCGACGGCGGGCGCGCAGCGTGTCGGCGGGGTGGTCAACGCGTTCGACGACCTCACGCTCGGGCCAGGGCACGGCGACGTTGAGGCCGGTAATGTAGCGGGTCCAGGCCTTCCAGCCCGTGGCGCGGTGGCGCTTGACAGGGCCGGCGGTCAGGGAGCGGACGATGACATCGCGGGTGATGCCGGTGACGGGGTCGGTCAGGGGGTGGACGAGGCGGATGGCGGAGATGGGGAGGGTGCCGGTGGCGGCCGAGGTGGGAGGCTGGGAGGGGTCGACTTTTCGGTGGACATCGGGCACGACGGTGAGATACTTGTCCGTGTTAGCGGGCCTTTGTTTCTGACTGGGAACATGTGCCATGGCAGGTGGGAGGAGTGCATGCGTACCTTGCCCAACGTCTTCAGCTCGACGACACCATTGTTGAGGTCAATGTGGTTGATCAGGTCAATCTTGCCCTTGTCAGGACCCTCCATGACAACGACGCGATCGTTCTTGACAATGTTCAGAAGCTTGCTGCCGCCAGCCCAGGCGCACCTCTGCTCAATCTCCCACGCCTTGAAGGGTGTCTGTGGCCTGTTCCTCGACAACAGGGTGGCGCCGTGGGTGAAGTTGCCGTCGACATCGCGACGGGGCGTCAGGGGACCGAGGTCCCAGGCCTCGGCGCGAGCGACACGGGCGGCACGCAAGTCGCCGGCGATTTCCTCGACATTTTGGGATTGCTCGGAACGGCGTTCAAGCTTGCTCCTGCGATAGACGTTCAGGGTCTTCTTGGCGGTGCGGCGGGCGACGGCTCGCTGTGCTTCCGCAGTGCGCTTTACGAGCTTCTGCATGGTGTATGAAAGGGTTCGAATTCTTCAGGGGGTTTCGTTCATCGGGCACGCCGCATTGAAGGGCTGGGGTCGGTGGGAAGGGCGTCAGCTAACTGTTGCGTCGTTCTCGTCGAGCCTGAAGCTTTCACGACAAAATTCCCCTGGGCTTGGGATTGGCCACTGCATGTGGGTCTAGAATGGGCAATTGAGTCGTGGGTCCGACCCGTAGTGATCGGAGAATCGCCGGGCCGCTGGCTCTCATGTGGTGGGGCAAGTCTTCCAGCCGGAGCTGGCTCACTAGATGGCCAGCTGGTGCCACTGATGCTTCCTCGCTGCACCTGAGCACGACCTGTAGCTACCTAGGTACGTACCTCGCTTGAGGTCAGCAGTGCGACCGCTCGTCATATTGCACTATCCCCCTGACTGGGCGCTGTCCGGTGCCAACCGCAACTCCGTTCTACCAACTCTGTCTCACAACGAGCTACTAGGGATACCTAGGCCATAATCTGCTGTTGCACCGCTCCTCTCTAAGACTCCGCCTTCATGCTCTGCGCTTGGCCTCCAGAGTCCGCTGTCCAGGTCAGCCTTGCCGACGGACCAGATTGGACGACCACGACTCAGGCTGTGACATGTCAGGTGCCTGCCAGGAGAGCGGAAGGGAGTCCTAGAATCTGCAGGACTTTCTGTTCCCCCGGTCTTCAGGGAGGCATGCTCCAAACAGCCTAACCGCACCTCACTGCCAGGTCACCAACTGCAGCGTCACGACAGCCACGAGTCTTGGATCTGCAGTGTGACTAATGTCGGCATGGGAGGGACCGGCAGCCTTATTACGACGAACCGACGCGGCGTTCCGTGTCGGGCAGGGTCCTAGTAGGCTGCCTACCTTATTACCGTAAGTTTGGTGTCCTCGTGATTCGGTTCACGGGCGGACATCGGGCGTCGATGTCCCATGTTCGCTGATGGAGGAACTGGCCACGGAGCTTGACCCTTTTGAACCTGTGCCAAACCACAATGGAGAGCGAGGAATGAAAATGATTGACACAGAGGCTGATGGTGTCTTCCGATGATGGTTTTACGCCTTGTTGAGGATGGTGGGGAGGAGGAGCTACCCGCTCACTCAGCAAACATTTGAAACCCGAAGCCAGAGAGGCAATCTGCGTGCTGCTGATCTATCTATGGCAGCGCCAGGGGTGCGCAGTGTTCAATCTTGCCTCAGAACACGGAACGGCCAGAAGCCTGGTGAGCTGAAATGGCTGCCAGGGTTGCCTACCTACTTCCTAAGTACCTGCATTACCACCTCACGGGGGGGGGGGGAGTGTAGAGGTTCAGTGTGCCTTGAGTGGATGTTGGGGTCGTCCAGTGTACAAAGTCACCCAATGAGTGTCGCGTCCGACCCCCGCCCCCAGCCCTGGCCGAGCGACAGAACATAGTACTTCGGCAGGCACAGGTACAGGCATGGGTAGAGAGCGAGTGGGTGCGAGTGGCACATCCTCAGGTTGATTGTAGTTATCGGCTACCTCTGGGAGAGTTGAGGGATGTACCTTTTTGGGCGCCATGACGAGGAAAGGGTACTTCGGACGAGCTAGGCGTGGCAGCACACTCCAAGCCACACCTGGTGCATAGCCCGACAATGATGCCGAGCACCTCACCTCGCGACTGTGAGCACGTGTTGCTGGTCGGGAATTTGGGCAGGCTAGGCAAGGGGAAGGGCGGGGCGGGCGAAAGAATAGAAAGAAAGAAAGCGAGCGAGCGACCGATTTTACCTGGCAGTCGGATAGGACATTGATTCCATCATCATCATCATCACCACCACCATGACCGTGATCATTGGTAGTCAGGACCTTAGTGTGACGAGCCAGAAAGGCGCTGAACATGCAGCATACGAGTGGCATCTCAGCATATAGGTACCTGATCATAATAAAGCTGTCACCATCCTGCCTGTTCCCAAGATCGAAAGATTCGACTGCCACTGGCCGTGACAGCAACCAAGCACCTCGCATCGCTGTCACCCACCCACCCCGGCTGCTATCCCAGACGCACGTACCACCCGAGGCCCTGTCGACCGACCTGTACGCGCGCCCACTTCCAGGTCCAGGTCCACGTCCCACGTCCACACACGCCGACCCAGGCTCCGAGCCCAGACCAAGCCAAAAACCGAGCCGCTACAGTGGCCTGAGTAGGTGCCGTCAGCGAGAAAGAACGTCCAAGCCGCTACCAGCTGCCCTGGGAGGGCGCTCGCCCGCCCCGTCGTCAAGTCAACCCCACTGCCAGTGTCTGCCTGCACACCTCACCCTGCCTGACCTTACCTCACCCACCCACCCGCCTACTGCTCTCCACTAAGGTGCTGCTTGCTGCTGCTGCTGCTGCTGCTGCTAGGTACTGCTACCACTGCCACCACCACTGCCCATCACTCCCTCATCAAACCCCCTTCTCGGCCGCAGCAGAACTCAACTTCTCCATCTCTCCACGACACCCCCGACCGCGCCTTGCCATCCCCCTTTCTACCATAACAACCAAAGCACAACACTCATCCTCACCGACCGCCTCTCCATCCAAAACCACCATCACACCAAACACCATGGCCGAAATCCGCCGAAAGCTCGTCATCGTCGGCGACGGTGCCTGTGGTAAAACCTGCTTGTTGATGTGAGTTAGCATCCACCCAAACCGAGGCCTTGTGGCCTCGCGAACCTCCATTCGTCCTCCCATCCCTCCAGAGCCTCGATGACGACGGGGAGCTGGTGCTCTCTTCCGCCGCCCGACGACGACGATCGCAGGCATTCTCTTTGGCGTCGTCACCTCCATCGCTATCCAAATTCCTATTGCCATTTCCATCTGTCGATCAGAGCTGACCCTCCTACGTAGCGTATTCTCCAAGGGCACTTTCCCCGAGGTAAGACTCTTGCCCATCGGCCGCATCATGCCTCTCCTCCCGCTCCGATGATGCTCATCTCAGCATC